TTGGGTCGGATAAATTATATAATAAAATAAAATATATAGGAAAATGTGTTTGGTAAAGATTTATGGAAATTTTAAAATATTACATTTTAATTAATATTTTTCAATTTTTTTTATAATATGTATTTTTTAGATACAAGTTAAAAGTGTATTTAATATATTTTTGATTCATTAAATTGCATAGAAAAAATAAAGTTTAATTTTAATTTTAATAACTAACAAATTAAAGTAATACATATGACATTAATGTTAAAATTAATCCCTACTTTTAAAATTGTTTTATATGATTTAATGACTAAAAAATGTAAATTTTTTATTTTTAAAAACCATTAAATTGTAAAATTTTTAATATAGATTATAAATGTGAGTATTCTATTGATTTATTAATCCAAGTGTAAGAAATTCAATTACTCTTTAATAAAATTGAGATCTTGTGAACAAAGAAACAAGTATTGGAAAAGCTTTTCTTTTATAGAATTTGACACAATTTGATTCTAAATTAATTAAGATCCAATGTAATTTCTAGACATTAGAGTTTAGTACAAACATTTATATATATAAATATAAATGTGAGAATGTGAATAGAGATCCATTTATACATCATTTTAACATACTACACTTATACAAAATCTCAACCATTTATCTTTTAACTTTCAATGATTGAGATATAAATGGTTGAGGTTTGTTCATACTTATTAAAAATAATTATTTATTATTGAAAGTGAAGAAATAAATAGTTGAAATTTTATATAAATATGATATGTAAAACTTATATATAAGTGGATATCTCCTCCATATATATATGATAATTACTAATATAATATTTAGTTCAATACATTTTACAATATATTTATTAAAAAAATATTATTTTAAAATTTGAATTAAAAACAAGAAAACTAAAAAACTACAAATTTTAATAAGTGAATTAGTAAACATTATAAGGTGTGTTAGATTGAAAAGTATATCAATAATTTTATATAAAGATATAAAATAAAATATAATGGAAAATGGGAGAACTCCAACTAACATTCTTTGTTTTGGACAAATCACATCCCTATCGTTTTAATTATCATCTTTTGCTTAACAAGTTGATTAGGAGAACGTGCAAAGACATGGATTCCCATTTACAGACAAATTATCATCAATTACAAAAGATGTTAATGATCATATTATTCTCTGATAAAATCATTCTCTAACAAAATCACGTTCTAATATAGAGTGTGGATTAATTAACGCTAATTTTTAACTACACATTTTAAAATTTGTGTTTTACATGATGTCTTTTTGGAGTTCATCTCTAAAAAAAACATATTTTAATTAATATTTTTAAAACCTAACTATTGATTAAAAATTCTATTAATGTATATCATACATCTAGTCTTCAAATTAATCTACTATGCCTAACTAGTTCATTATTTACACATTAACATTGTTAAATATATATAACTAAATAGATTTTTTTTTATCAAAGAATTATAAATGTTATATCAATTTAAAAATTAACTTCCATACATAAATAAAATATTTAGTTTGATAGTTAGTTTTTAAAAATAATAATTTATTAAAAAAATGAGTTTTTAGGCAAGTATTTAGAAAAAATTTAAGAGAAAATTTGCTCTAGACTAATTATTTATATATATAATGTTTATCAATCAAATTTTTAAAAATTTAAGAAAAAATTTTAAAATTATATGATTTTAATAAACTATTATAATTAAAAAATTAAAATATTCTCATTCTAAACTAAATGATTTAATAATATTTTTTTTATCTTGACTATATAATGAAAGATAACAATTTCTCATGATCTTTTATTTTCAGTAGAAGAAAATGATCACTGCATTATTTAAATCGTTGACAATAATAATCTTATTTTTAATGCTAAGTGACATGTGAATGTGAGTGGCTTCCGGCACTACGAGGGACCATGGTTGGGCATGTGCTTCTAAAAAACTAAAAAATAAGGAGGATTAAACTAAGATTTT